TGACCAGAAACCAGAGAAGCATTAATTATAGAGAGCACACTGGGACCGATGGACTGAAAAGCACTTTTAAACAAAGATGAGCGTAAGATGTGGAGGGGGCATGCAGAGGTCTTCATAGAGTTAACTAGTTTGGTTAACTCAGGCAAAGAAACAGGAGCAGAGCTATCTAGGATGATGGGCCTGGTTGGAGTCGGGAGAGGCAGAGATATGCTAGATCTAACCTCATTGACATTTTCCACAAATTTACAGTCTCTATTAGAGTGGATGGAGGCTGTAGGGAAGGCAGGAGAGACAATACTGCTGATTGTGTTCAACAACACCTTGGGGTTTACTTTGCTCTGAGATACCAGGTTGGAAAAATAGGCTACCCTTGCATCTCTGACTGCAGAGTTAAAGGATTTCAGAAGATCCTTTAGATGCAGGAGATGTACTTGTAGACGGGTTTTCTTCCACAAGCATTGAGTTTTTCTGCATTAGTGCTTCAGGCTCCCAATGCTGTCATTAAACCAGGGAGTAGGATTCACTGCAAGAACTGATCTGGTTCTGACAGGACAGATGTTGTCCAGAATGGAGCTCATTAAAGTGAGTAGTTAAGGAATCTGGGTCATTATCAGAGGAACAAGATGGACTATAAGCTGCAGAAAATTTGTTAGCTGTGCTCTCATTAACAAAACAAGAAGTAACCAAACAGCAAGGAAGGAGATGGGGATGCAGAAATTGAAAAATTAATAAAAATGGCATGGTTATCTGAAATATAAACATCCTCGGGACAAATACTGTCAGTGTTTAAACCCAGGGTAAAAACTAGGTCCAGAATAAGAACCCTGGTGTGTGTGGGGCCAGAAATATGCTGAGTAAAGCTGAAAAGGGAGGGAAGAGCTCATGGCAAAGTGGTCTGAGGCATCATCAACGTGACTGTTAAAATCATCAACAGTCACCAGTTTGAACAGCTTCACAGCGGAGGATAAACTTCACAAAACTCCTGAAGGAAAGAACTGTTTGGACCAGGTGGACGACAAACTTCAGCAAAACAGCTGCAATTCAAAGGAAACAAAGCGACCAGAAGTTGTATAGCTACATGAAGGATAGTCTTTAAAAACAATAGCTAGGCCTCCACCTTGACCAGAACCTCGGTGCTAGTCAAAGTGTAGGGAGGAGGGAGCTGCAGGGAGCTGATCCTCATCCCAGCCGCTTCACACTCGGCCGCGAACCTACCCAGCAAGAGCTGAAGGTCAGAGCTGGATGAAGCTAGGAGGACCACATCATCCGCAAAAAGCAAAGACAAGATTCTCCTGCCACCAAACTCGACACACTCCACACCACGGCTGTGCCTAGAAATTCTGTCCATAAAGGTAATGAACAGAACCGGTGACAAAGGGCAGCCCTGGAGGATTCCAACACTCACCGGGAACATGTCCGACTTAAGCCTGATTTATGCTTCTCCGTCTGCGTCAGTGCGGAGACACGCAACGCCATTATCCGTCCTTGCGTAGGGATCCGGCAGGCACGCAAGTACGTACGGAGTCGAGCCCACTTTTTTAAACATCCGTCGAACGAAACGGATTATGCAAGCTTGTGATTGGTTAGGACGCCGCTGTTGTTTACAGCGCTGCCATTGCAAAGAGAGCCGAGGATAACTAGTGGCAGACACGGAGAAGCTTGAAGAATACCTTGCGAAAAAACTCTAAAACATGAACGTTTAATTCTCCCGTGACTGGAGGAGTGAAAAGATGCGCAGCAAGCGTTTTATTTGTGGACGGAAATGACAGGAAGCGTGGGTTTAGAGGTGGGGAGCGCATGAAGCGGTGGGAGAATGAGAGACAAATATGTCCGTGTTAAAAGTCTCTTATATACACAAAAAACACAATATAAACACACGATCTTGGACCGGATACATGACAGGATATCACAGAACAGCGCTACGCCCTCTGTGGTCCTGCCGGGCAATTGCTTTGCAACGCTCTCCAGGAGACGGAGAAGTATGAGAGCAAAACGCTTCCGTCAATCCGTGCGTGTCTGTCCCTTGCGGAGCTGACGGAGAAGCATAAACCAGGCTTTACTACTGGCTATGCGGACCAAACTCACACTCCTCTGGTAAAGGGACAGAATGACACTTAACAGAAAGCCACCCACCCTATGCGGTCATAAGCCTTCTCCAAATCCACAAAACACATGTGGATTGGTTGGTCAACCTCCCATGCCCCCTCCTTCACCCTTGCAAAGGTATAGAGCTGGTCCACGGTTCCACGGCCAGGACGAAAACCACATTGCTCCTCCTCAATCTGAGATTCGACTATCGATCGGACCCTCCTCTCCAGTACCTTGGAGTAGACCTTTCCAGGGAGGCTGAGGAGTGTGATCCCCCTATAGTTGGATTACACCCTCAGGTCACCCTTCTTAAAGTTGGGAACCACCACCCCAGTCTGCCACTCCACAGAAACTGCCCCCGATGACCACGCAATGTTGCAGAGACGTGTCAACCACGACAGCCCTAAAACATCCATAGCCTTGAGATACCCAGGACGAACCTCATCCACCCCTGGGGCTCCGCCGCTGTGTAGTTGTTTGACTACCTCAGCAACTTCTGCCCCCGAGATTGGACAGTCCATCCCCATGTCTCTCGGCTCTGGTTCCTCCTCGGAATGCGCGTAGGTGGGATTGAGGAGCTCCTCAAAGTATTCCTTCCACTACCTGACTATAGCCCCAGTTGACGTCAGCAGCTCCCCATCCCCACTGTAAACAGTGTGAGCGAGTTGCTGCCTTCCTCTCCTGAGGCGCCGGACAGTTTGCCAGAACCTCTTTGGAGCCGAGCGATAGTCTTTCTCCATGGCCTCACCAAACTCCTCCCACGCCCAAGATTTTGCCTCGGCAACTGCCACTGCTGCACCCCGCTTGGTTATCCGGTATCTGTCTGCTGCCTCCGGAGACCCACAGACCAGCCACGCCCTGCAGGCCTCCTTCTTCAGCCTGACGGCTCCCCGAACCTCTGGTGTCCACCAGCGAGTACGGGGGTTGCCACGGGGGTGGGGTGTGTGTGTGTGTGTGGGGGGGGGGGGTGCTGTTTGGATTGCTGGCTGTAATGCACATAACACACAAGCTTGCAATATAAAGAAGGACAACACCTGTCCCCCTCCAGCTTGGCTGTGTGACTGCACTAACCTGTCCTGTGGGACCCTCACCCTGCGACCCTCATGTCCATGCTGTCTCTGGAGGAGCAGATAGGAGACAAGACCTCCTGTAACTTAAAATGAACCAAAGCTTCCTCCCAGTTTCTCTTTCAGCTGAATTTAACATCAGTTTATCATCATGAAACAAGAATAAAGTGGAACAAGAACTTCTATCTTCTATTTCTCTCTCCTTTTAACTTCTCCGTGTCCCTAACTAAAAGAGACAGATGATCACTCACCTTGCTCCCTCCCCAAGATCGGATCTCCCGACATCACAGCACTCGGTCTGACGGACCACTTCCAGGAAAAACACTAATGAAATTATGAAAATAACAACAAGTGATTGGAGGAGAGTCCTCCGATCCTCTCTCTTGTGTGAGCAGACAATCTCCCTCCCTCCCTCTCTCTCCCTCTCTCTCTCTCTCTCTCTCTCTCTCACTCCCTCTTTCTCTCTCTCTCTCTCTCACTCCCTCTTTCTCTCTCTCTCTCTCTCTCTCTCTCTCTTTCTCTCTCTCTCTCTCCCTCCCTATCTCTCCCTCTCTCTCTCAGTCACTGATCGAGCGAGCGGAACGCGCCGCACGACAACCCGCTCAATTAACATAATTTACGGCCCAAATCCAACAGAACCGGTCGAGCTGATTCGATTCGGGTTCGGTCTCAGGTTATAACTCCAGTGCTCAGCCATGCAGTACCACATAAGGGTGGATCAAAGTTTCCTACCCGGTAAATGTGGAGAACACCGCTCTGACAGATTTGGATGCTGCGCTGGTGCTGCCGTTAAAATAACAAAACTACATTCCACCATAATTGATTATGGTACTCTTCTATGATGCAGAATCGTTTATGCCCGCATCTCATGCATTGATTATTTGATTATTTTCCTCAACTCTATCTATCCTACACCTCCCGGTCGGCTGTCGGGGGTGGGGGTGCGCGAGGGGTTTGGGGGCCACAAAGAGAGGGCTCGCGGGCTGGACGTGGCCCGCGGGCCGCCATTTGTGGACCACTGCAATAGAGGTTAACAACTTATGAGGGGGTAGGGAGCAGGTTGTATTCATATATAGTTTGACCCATCCGTATTCCAGTCAGAATTGACAAAGCTCCTTGGAAGCAAAACATCTTTAAAAAACCAAATAAGTCAGGTTGCCTTCATTCAAATCCCTTAGGAAACTTTACAAATCTTACTGGTCAAATGATCTTCAAGATAATTCAAATTCATAAAGGTGACAGTCCAAAACTGTACACGTTTCTCTGATTATTCCTAGTATTTTTGAATAAAAAGAGCTTAAGTAATAATATAACATATATATATATATATATATATATATATATATATATATATACATATATACATATACATATATATATATGTATATATACATATATATGTATATATATATGTTATATATACATATGTATATATATATATGTATATATGTATATACATATGTATGTATATATATGTATATGTATATATATATATATATATATATATATATATATATTAATATATATATATACATATATATATGTATATATATGTTATATATATATATATGTATATATATATATATATATTAATATATATATATACATATATATATGTATATATATGTTATATATATATATATATATATATATATATATATATATATATATGTATATATATGTTATATATATATATATATATATATATATATATATATATATATATATATATGTTATATATATATATGTGATATAAAATAACAAAGTCAAAAATATCCTAATTCAGCCATACAAGTGTGAGTTCTTGTAGATTTAATGATCCTCATGCTGTTCATGACATTCCAGGATGGAACCGTGATCGTGCACACAATTCGACAAGGCCATTTCATTCGGACACTGCATGCTTCTGGAGATAGCTGCATACCCGCTAAGATTTCTGGGCTCCAAGTGGGTATGGAGGGCCACATTGTAGTGCAATTGTCTCAGGAGAAATGCTCTAACAGGAAGGTACTTGAATTAATTTTTGGGTTCTGAACGTTGCTTTGTGTCGTAAAAATATTCATGTTCTGCTCATTCCTTCAGGGCAATTTCTCCATTAATGTTTACTCTGTAAACGGCTGTTTGTTGTCCTGCTTTACCACGGAGGAGCAGATAACTGCACTCCACCTGGTGTCTGAGTACATTATCCTGGGGACGATACATGGCAGCCTCCACATACAAGATTTATTCAGGTAAAACGTTTAACTCTTTAGCACCACACAGTTCAGAAAAGGTATTGCAGCTACAACAGCCCACTTAAAACTTAAAGGCTTTGTGGTGGTGTCTGCACAGCTGCAGCGCAGAAGAAGACACTGTAGCACTGACCGCTACCTCCAGATCACACACAGAAATCACACTTCTGCATGTCTTATTTAATGTTTCGGTTGCTCTCTGCAGTCGGCGTCTCTCTCAGGGTATTGAGAGCCCTTGGCCCTTGTCCTGTAAAGATATGTAGGATGGTCTGATTAGTCATTTGCAACAACTGCATCTTTTCACTCTGCTGCTGCCGCTTCTACCATGTCTTCCAGTGCTGTCGTGTCACTTGTCTCCCTCTGCCCTGCAACAACTTCCAGCTTTCAATCCAGCAATAACATGCAGTTGGTGCAAGGCAAACAACCCAAGAGGAAGGTGTGTGTGTCTCAGTGGGTGTGGGTGTGTGTGTAGGTTTGTGGTGATGTGCGTGTGTCTACTCTGTCTGCTCAATCTCAAGTGAGTCATGGTGGATGGCTGCTCATCCTGAGCCAGGATCCTCTAGAGGTTTCTTCCTGTTAAAAGGGAGTTTGCTAAACGGGGGCATTACATCCATTCAATTTCAGCCCTTTCAGGACTTTGCGTCAGCATATCGTGACTGCTTTGGCTGTGAGTGACTACGTTTACATGCAGCCAATATCCGGGTTATGATCGGGTTAAGGTCGGTATTCGGGTTTCTGAGTTGATCAGAATAACCCGTTTACAAGCATAAATAGAAAGAGTTACCTCTAACTTGCATAACCCGATGTAAATGCGGACGTTGGGGTAGCGTCAGGACGTGTGGACTACTTCCAGACGCAATATGCGTCATTTCTGGTTCTTCTTGTTCCGGTATCCGTGAAAACAACAACATGTTTCCCAGTTCGGAAGAGATAGCGACCGCGTTTGTTTGCGCTTTAGTTTCTTCGTCACTCCAAAAGTGTGGTGCTGTGCCGCGACTCGCCATGTTGCTCCCAACTTGTTGTTTACTTCCGGTGTTCTGGCACATACAAGACGTCTCGCTACTCAAAATACCAAGATTCCTTGCGAACAGAGCATGCGCACAACACACGCTTTGATGGGGATATCCCGGTATGCGTTTACACGACCAAACATTCGGGTTAGAAAAGGGTTACCCCAGGTGTAGTAACCGGGTTTTTAAAAACCCGGTTATGAGCATATCCGGGTTTTTTTCGGTGTTTACATTGACCTGCGGAACCGGGTTATTGCGAATATTCGGGTTTTAAAAGGGTTACTGGCTGCATGTAAACGCACTGAGTGATGTTGCTGATCAGTATCAAAAAGCATCCCAAGTAACGTTCCTAACATTAAAAGGGCAGCAGTAGCGCAACAATTATTAAACGAGGTTCTTTTGGCTTCGGACATGAAGGTGTTTCGAGTTACCTTTTACATGTTTTGACCGTCGTCTGCGGTCTTCATCACAAATGTCATGTGTTTGTGTGACGCATCTTTATCAGCTGTTCTTCTGATGGGCACGACCAACCCGGATCAGTCAGATCTGCCGGGTCGGTCACACCTACCTCTGCTGGCTGATCTTTGGAGAAGGGAATCCCAGGTGCGAGACAGCCGATAGGCCCCCTTGTCTCTGTTAATGTTCCATTGTTCCCGTTTCCTTATTTCATGTTCCAATGTTCCCGTTTCCTCCCTGACCCAACGTTTGGACCAGTTGTTCTCCGTGTTGATAATTTTCACAGATAAATTTGGGAGATGCTATTTATGTAAATCATTGCATCATAGTGAGGAAATTCACCCCATATTAATCCCTGTGGAGATCTTCCAAGCAAAGTTAATTTAATAAACAAAACTAAAGTGTCACTCCTTCAGATATCATTAAGGCCCTGGATTTAGATTTCTCAGAAAAGCCCATTGATGAAAATCATGTCTCACGAGGATCTCAAGTTTCTCTGAAAACTCAGTGACGGCATCAAACACAATGAAAGTGGTCACTATAAAATGCCACTACAATTTTGTGATGAACAACTTAATCTAGTGGACAAAAAGGTATGCTCAATGCACCACCTGAAATGTCTGGAGAAGAGATAAAGGAAAGACAAACCATATCTTTAAGCCTAGAACACACCAGAGGCGGACGCGCCTTGCCCACGCTGTGCCCTCATTTTAAATAGAAGCCATTATAGTTGATGAGCGTTGACACACGGGGGGCTGCACCCCAAGGTGCTGAAGATAGGCGCCAGTTCTATCTCAAGCGGCTGTTTACAACATTTTTCAGTAATTTACAACAGACATTACGACACGGAACGGCTTTGTGGCACAAACCCAACCACAGTTTTGATAAGTTTAAAGTACTATTGATCTTAAAATATTCAAATAAATAGTGTGCTTACCCATTTTTAATGAATTTGAGTCTCACAAAACACAATGACATGTTTGATCTCGTATAAACTATAGAGTCACTTCCCACTTTCTGTTCTAAAGTCCCACGTGATGTGACTATCACGCGACTTTCCAAGAAGCGCTCAGCAGCATGACCTGTGTGACCACTTGACTTCTCAAAATCTCCGGCGCGGTGCGTCCACCTGCGGTGTGCCCCAGGCTTTAAGGTGATGCAGAAAAGATTCCTGAGCAAGAGTTAAGCCCAATTTCCACTTCTCCATCTGCATCCAGATGGACACACACAATGCCACTAGCAGCAGCAGTCAGGCAAACAACAGGTATAAAGTGTAAGAGCATAGAACATAAAATCAGTCTTTATGCAGATGATATGTTACTTTTTCTCCAGAATTCTCAATCCTCTCTCTCCCAAGCAACTGAATTGATAAACTCATTTTCAAAAGTTTCAGTTTATTCAATAAACTGGTTAAAATCCACCGTTTTCCTAATTAATTTAATTAATCAATCTCCTCTCAATTCCTCTAATACACAATTGGAGTTGGGAAATGTTACATACTTGGGCATTCGTGTTTCTCCCAAGTTGGCAGATTTAAAGAAACTAAACTACATCCCACTTTTAAAGAAAGTGGAAGATGATCTTGCCAGATGGAAGTCCCTACCGATATCACTCATGAAGAAATTATACTTTTACCATGAATCAGTTACTTATTTTCAATTATCCCAAGCAAGCAACCATCTGACTAGTTTAGATCTCTGGACTCCTCCATACCAAATTCCTTTGGCAGGATAAACCTCCACGAATTAGCTTAAAAATGCTTCAGAAGACCAAAGACAGAGGAGGACTGGATTTACCCAACTTTTATTATTATTTCTTAGCCAACAGGCTGCAATATATACCAAGATGGTTGCAAGATAACCCACTAGATGAGTCCTGGTTAGATATAGAACAGACACTTTGCAATACGATAGAGCTTTCAGACTTACCATTTATTAGCTCAAGCATAAGAAAACATGAAGGCTTCAAAAGTATTAGTATCAGCACCTCTCTGACAGCATGGTGGGAGTATCTAAAAATATCTTCACTCATACCATGCAGATGCACACCTATCTGTAAAAATCCGGCCATTTTGCAAAACAATAAAATGATGAACCTTCCTGACTGGAAGTGTAAAGGAATCATATACCTGGAACACATTTAAGTGTTAGATTTCATGCCATTTAACAGAATATTCTCCCAATATGGAATAGACAAGAATACATTTTTAGAATATCACCAAATTAAATCTATAGTTAAACAAAAATGTAAGCTTAATAAAGTAGAATTACAAACACCATGAAGGTTACTTGACTTCTTTAATCTCAATCACCCAAGGCACTGTCCAAAATAGATGATTCAATAGCAATTCCTATAGAAAAATTGGAGGGGGGTCTGTCAATAAGCTGTGACCAGAATTTTTGGACTCAAACTTGTTTAAAAACTTTTAAAATGACCAGAAACCCTAATTTACAATTAATAACTACAAAATTCTGCATAGAGTACACAATACATGTCATTGGATGTTCAGGATGGGGGTTATGCCATTTGGCACCTGTACACACTTCACAGACAACATTCCTGACGATAATATCCATGCACTGTGGTCATGTCCACCTGTTCAGGGAGTCTGGTGTAGAGTATGTGAGAGAGTAGAGAGAAGACCTGTCAAAGTGTCTGAAGCATGAAATCCCAACTTCCCCCTCATTTTGTTCGCTAGGAAACCTGGATGATGTCCTCATTGAAACCAATCTGGTTCGTGTGGTTCTGACTGCCATATGCATTGCAAAGGAAATTATCCTCATAAACTGGAAAAATAAAGATAATCTTTGCATTAACCAGTATAAAAATCTTTTGTTGAATCATATTACATTTGAGCAAAGGTGGAAAGTAACCAATTACATTTACTCACATTACTGTAACTGAGTAGTTTTTTTGTATGTTTATACTTTTTGTTGTTTTTAAAATCTGTACTTATACTTTTACTTGAGTAAGTATTTTAAAAAGAATTGTAATTTGCTACATTTTAAATCATATTTGTTACTGAGTAAAAATAAATTGTAAGCTTATAAATAAAAAATATTACGTGTCGCTGCATCGGAACAGAAAGAGACACCTGCATGAGCGCCGCGTCTAAACTGTGGGGGCGTGGGCGTACACTTGATAATGATGACAAACAGCCAGTTTTACATCATTTCCGTCCCTGTGATCCACTTGCTGTTTACCTCCTGCCTCCCTCCTGTGGGTTGGAACCCGCACCTTTGCGCACCGGTGTTACATCATCAGAATTCTGCTCGGTTTGGTAGTCGGACTCTGTCCCGTGTTTTAAGTGTGTTTCCCTACCACTCCGCATGGAAGTGGCAAAATAACGTTTAGCGCTCATAACAAGTGGATTCTCAGCGCTCTGTTCATGAAACAGAAGGCCTGCAGGCCTCTGTGAGATAAAACATCCTGATACTGTTCAGGTGTAAACATTGTGCTCCATCCCTGTGTTTGAACTCAGAAGATTCTTCTTAATGCCACAGATAAGTGATGATTGAGCTTCTTTCTTTATTT